AGCTGCATGCACCATGCTAGCTAGCTCTGGTCTTCCAACTCGTTTTTGGGCAGAAGCAATCTCTACTGCCTGCTTTATTCAAAATAGAGCAACAGTGGTAAAGAGGAATATGAAGACGCCTTACAAACTAATTAACCAAAGAAAGCCTAACGTCAAATTTTTACATGTCTTTGGTTGCAGATGCTTCATCCTAAATGATCAAGATCAACTTGGCAAGTTCGATAAGAAGGCAGATGAAGGCAAGTTCCATGGTTATTCAACAAAAGCCAAGGCATACAGAGTCTTCAATCAACAAACCAAGACGGTCATAGAAAGCATCAACGTCTCGTTCGATGATAAAGAACACATGACTTCAGAGTACCTCAGCTCTGGACTCGATCTTAACCAACAGACTTCCAATTCTCAAATAAAGTCAAGGGAATTGGAACTCAGACTCCTATTTGAAGACTTCTATGGCGACGAAGACATCTCCGTACGTGCACCAAGAGATGCATCTTCGAGTGTGAGTGAAGGATCACAAACGACAAACACATTTGACTCTGGTCCTTCACACACCTCTGCTTCCTCTGGAGATCATTTCAATCCACAACCAGAGCAAACAAGCTCTGCATCAGAGCCCAGTCATGTAGAACCAGAGCATAATACCTCTGGCTCTACACCTGGTTCCTCTGTATCATCATTTGAGGGGAGAAAGCAGAACCTTGTCAATGAGCTCAATGCCAAACATGCCCATGGAACGTGATCAAACGTCCCCCACTTCTGAATCTGTCCTAAGAACAAAATGGACAAAGGATCATCCTCTTCACCAGATCATTGGTGAACCTTCAAGTGGCGTAAAGACACAGGCTGCAACAGCTAATGAGTGTTTATTCGTAAACTTCCTTAGCACGGTAGAGCCTAAGAAAGTACATGAAGCCCTACAAGATCCTAGTTGGGTCGATGCCATGCAAGAAGAGCTCCAACAATTCGAGAGGAATAAGGTATCGACTCTTGTACCTTTACGAAAGGATAAAATTACAATTGGCTGTAAATGGGTTTTTAGGAACAAGAAGGATGAGGATGGGATCGTAGTGAGGAATAAAGTGTTAATCCCAGATCTGACAGTAGAGTGATGTAAAAGGAATTTAAAAAGAGATTTGTAGAAGAAGATGAATAGAAATCGGCCGCCGCTTTCTTTATTGAATGGAAAATACAATCTCTCAAAAACACTAATCGACTCTCATGTGATGTGTTTGAATCTGTGTGTTACAAAGTGTTGATAATTCATCTCTCTCCTATTCTATGCCTGTATCACTTCTTATATAGGCGATATTTACATGATAACTGTATCCTATAAATAAGGTAACTAAATCCTATAAATAAGGAAATAATCATTATCGAAAATGGGATCCACATCATCCTTCAAGATTCTGAAGATAGGCGTCCAGAGGATAGAGCAACCAGAGGATAGACCAACGAGAGGATAGAGCAACCAGAGGATAGACCAACGAGAGGATAGAGCAACCAGAGGATAGACCAACCAGAGGATAGACCAACCAGAGGAGTTATGGAGATGTGTAGTTCATCGCACCTATGGACGTTCATAGGGGCTCTGGTCCTAAAGGACTTAGAGTCCAGAGTCTCTGGTCAATACAACCAGAGGCTCTGGTCGTCCATAGGGGCTTTGGTCTTCTTCCAGACTTAGTCGTTTTAGCATAGCAACATCTTCAGATATTCCATCCTTAGCCCCGATTGCTTAATAAAACTTTTTAGAATAATTTGGATCTATTGATTCCAACATAAAGCTAGGCTCATAGCAAAAGGATATTGCCAGGAAGAAGGCAAAGACTATGACGAGACCTTTGCGCCAGTAGCAAGGCTAGAAGTATACACTTGTTCTTAGCCTTCTCTACACATTAGGGATTCTGAGTCTATCAAATGGACGTTAAGTCAGCCTTCTTGAATGGTAAGCTAAAGGAGGAAGTCTACGTTCAACAACCTCCAGGGTTTGAAAGCTCCACCCATCCAGAGTTTGTCTATTTCTTAGACAAAGCTCTGTATGGACTTAAGCAAGCACCTCGAGCCTGGTATGAACGTCTCTCGTCTTTCCTCTTTTCTAATGATTTTGAAAAAGGTAAAATCGATACAACTTTGTTTATTAAGAGGTATAAAGGTGAGATGCTCTTAGTACAGATGTATGTGGATGACATCATCTTTGGTTCAACGAACCAGAGGCATTGTGATAAGTTCTTTGCGTTAATGAAGAGCGAGTTTGAAATGAGCATGATGGGAGAATTAACCTTCTTCCTTGACTTGCGAGTAAAACAGAGGGTGGACGGTATTTTCATTAACCAAGCTAAGTATGTCTCCGACATATTAAAGAAATACCAACTCCATAACTCTTCCACCATGAGAACACCAATCGCGACGAGAACTAAGCTTGACACAGATCCATCTGGAAAACCAGTGGATGTTAAGACTTACCGTGGAATGATTGGATCATAACTATACCTCACGGCTAGTAGACTAGACATTATGTTTGCCACATGTCTCTGTGCGTGTTTTCAAGCAAATCCAAAGGAATCTCAGCTTTCGACTGTAAAAAAAATCTTTAGATACCTTAAAGGGACTCAATTTTTGGGTATTTGGTATCCAAAGTATTCTGGTTTTGATCTTATTGTGTACACAGATTCTGATCATGCAGGTTGTAAACTCGATCGAAAAAGTACATCAGGGAGCTACCAATTACTTGGGGACAAGCTCATAAGCTGGACCTCGAAGAAGCAAAACTGCGTCTCTACTTCCACAACTGAAGCAGAGTATGTAGCTGCAGCAAGTTGCTGTTCCCAAGTGATATGGATGAAGACTCAACTGAAAGACTATATAATCGAGTTTGAGAAGATTCCAATTCTGTGTGACTCAGAAAGTGCTATCGCAATCACAGCCAATCCTGTGCAACACTAAAAAACAAAGCACATCGATGTTCGATATCATTTCATCAAGGACCATGTAGAGAAAGGTACGATTGAAATGTTTTTTTGTTAGTACAGATTTACAACTTGCTGACATATTTACAAAAGCTCTTGATGAAAAGAGGTTTAATTTTCTTGTTAGCAAGTTGGGTATGCTTAATCTTTCAAACTAAGGCAGAGCCTCTGTATGTACTATACAGAGCCTCTGCATCCCTTTATGCATACTTCAGTTTTATTGATTATTTGTATTGATCCATGAGACAGAGCCTCTGCATAGTACATGCAGAGCCTCTTACTCAAGTCCTAGTTGTTTTGTAATACAGAGCCTCTGTACCTTGATTATTATATATATGCTCTACTTATCACAAATGATCTAAGCATAGTTCAAGGGGGAGCATATAAGAAGAGCTCAAGTCAAGGGGAGCACGAGATCATGTCACACAGAGCCTCTATTTCAAAACTTCTCATGATTATAGGACAGAGCCTCTATATGTACTATGCAGAGCCTCTGCCTCTAAACATAGTAAGTTTTCTACAGATGACATGTATAGTCCAATCATGAGTCTCTGTATGAGATCCTAAGGTAGGTTGTCTTCTTCTGCATGTAGTACTCTGGTTCTCTACAAAACCTATACTTCTCAATAACTAGAGTATTTACACTTGATTTTTTTTGTTTTTGAAAATCAAAATATATTATTTTATTAAGAAGGCGTAAGGTTTCTTTTAATTTTTTAATAAAAGCTATCGCCTACATTAAGCGTCACCACCTGTGAGCTTATCTTTTCAAACGTGGGAGGCGCCACTTGCAGCTGGCAAATCCACGTGGCGCGCCCCCATAGGCTGTGAGAAAACCGGTTCAGTTTTTTACCTGACGTATGGGTGCTAAACACTCAAGTGTTTTTATTTTATTCTATTTAAACAAATTTTACCCCCAAATTAATCTTTTACGCTTACAAAGATTTTCAAGAACTCCTGTCGTCTCCAACCTTCAACCGCCATTGTTAAGCTTTCAAGCTCTCAAACCAGTGATCGGAATCTCAATCAGCCTTTCAACGTTCATCCAGTTTGTCAAGTAAGTCCCAAAAATCCTTTCCTCCAACCTATTACTCAATTCAAGAACTACTTCTTGAAACCCTAGATTTTCTTTTATCTCCTTCCAAACCCAAAACCTGCAACTATGTCCTCCTCAGAATCTAGAAACTCCCAAAGTCATACCACAACCCACAAAACTATGGAAGATACCAGTCAAAACCTAGTTCCTCGTCCTATCAAACCGAATAACCATGCCTTAAACCTCCAACTTGAAAACTTCGACACCAAATACCATCCCATCATCAGTATCCTCCAAAATCACTTCTAAAACCCAACCTTGACAAACACGGATGACCTTGTTCCTGAAAGGTACATCCAAGAATACTGGCAATCCTGCGCCGTTACTGAATCTCAAAGAGGAATAGTTGGAGATTTCTACGTCTCTTCACCAAACGAGTTTGTCACTATTCGAATTTCAAGATCCATGTTTTAGCGGGTTCTATAAATCCCAACGAAAACCGACTTACAGCTTTCTGAGTATGCCCCTCTCCTATCTGGGGACGAGATAGTGGCCTTCTTAAAGTTCTTAGGGTACAACAAGGCCATCCAATACCCGTCACAGTATCGTCGTCAATACCTACCACCAATGTGGAATACACTTTTCACATTGGTCAACAGATCGCTGACAGGGAAGATACGGAGCCTCGACATGTGCTCAACAAATGTTCTTCAGATCGTCTATGGAATCTTCTTTGACTTATATCTCGACTATTCCTTGATACTCTACACAGAGTTCAAGGCTGCTGTGGCCAAGAAGTGGCCAAAGGAAGACAGTTGACGTCTTTATTATTTCAATGATTCTTGGGTCTTCTCCTAAGACCTGCTCTCGACGACAACAATATTGATGTGGGTCGTCTACCTGCTCACAAGGTGAATGTGCTCAATCAATACAGACCTACAGTGAACAAGGAGGGTTATGAAGTAGAGAGGCCTATTCCAAAGAGGCTCATGAGTTATATGAAGTCCAAGGAGATTAGAAGAGCGTACAGACGTATACGCGAGACACTAGGACCAGTGTCTCGAACCCGGTTACGCATAGGAACAGCCGAGGAAGAAGAGAGGACTAAGGACACATCAAGGCCTCAAGCAGATGGAGAGATGGTGATAGCAGGTGAAGAGAGGATGAGAGCAGAGGAAGAAAGGGTGCAAGTGGAGCAAGAGAGAGAGAAAGAAAGAAAAAGAGAGGAGGCGAGGACAAAGAGAGCTGAGAGCGAGAAAAAGAAAAAAGAAGAGGCAGAACGAGCAGAGCAAGAGAAATTGGCTGAGCTTGCTCGTGCTAGAGCAGAGGCAGAGCGAGCAGAAAAAGCTCGCAAAGCAGAGATCGCTCGTCTGAGGGAAGAGACCAGACTCAGAGCAGAAGAAGAGGCTCGTCAAACCTTGGCTCACTCCTCTAGTCCAAACCAAGGGGATGACCAAGAGCACTACGACGATGCTGCACGGTCTTATACAAGTGAAGAAAGTGAGGAGGAAGAGGAAGAGAGTGAAGAAGAAGAGAGTGAGAAAGAAAAAGAAAGTGAGGAAGAAGAAGAGGAGAGCGAGGAGGAAGAAGAGGGAGGAGGTGCAGCAGCTGCGCTGCCTCAGGGTGAGCCAGAGCAGCCTAGGCTAAATAGCCACACTCGATTTACCACCCCAACTCCCAGTGCAATCAAATCATCTGACTCCAGTGGTCGAGATATAGGAGTCATGGAAATAGAGGTGCACACCTCGAACCCCAGCCAACCTATCCAACCAGAGGTCGCATCTGCCTCTGGTTACATCAGCCAAAGGGAAGCCTCACCATAGGGAACACCCTCTCAAAAGGGTGCAACCTTTGAAAACATAAGTGATATGTCTCCCCATATCACGCCACTTTCCCAAACAGAGGAATTTGTTTCCTCTGCACGTGTAGATTCCCAACCTTGTTCAGAGCAAGGTATAGGTGCACTTGGCTTGGAGACTCTCGACCGGTCTCCTAGTCCACTCATGGAGAGCCCTCTGGCTGGCTCTAAACCAGTCTTGGGTACTCTCCTTGACAGAACATAGGTAGTGAATTCTCCTTAAGGAGAACCACGAGGATCCTCTGGAAGTCCTTCCCCGACCAACGTCAATCAAGTCATGAATGAAGGCGTCCCTGGAACGGGGACTCAATCTGGCCCTTGTGTTGAGCCAGAGGTTACACCACCTGTATATGTCACTAGGGAAGAGTTCCATTCCCTTTTCACCTCTATGCGGTGCTCCTTGGAAGAGCTAAAACTCATCATGGCCCGTGTAGAGCCGTCCCCTTCTACACCTGCTCTGGATGAGATACGAGCATCCTTGATAGTATTAAGAGCTGAGTCTACGACGAATGCTTCTCATATCAATACACTCATGGAATTGATGGCACACAATACAGAGACATTATAACAGGTCATCGCATCAATACAGAGGGTTGAGGCGTTTACATCTCATGGCACCCAGGCCCTCATTCCTCTGAGTGTACCTGTGGATTATGTCACACAGAGCGCAATGAATGCTCTAGGTGACAAACTTCTACAGAAGGTGGCAGACTTCACTGCAGACTTCAATCGCAAAGCCACAAAAGCAGTGAAGGATATCAACGATACACTTGCCAGATTCAACTACCGTTCAGACGATGAAATACGAAAGGTTGGAGTTGCAGTCGATGAACTCCTCAAAGTCATTAAGGAGATGATCAAATTGATGCCTTAAGCAAAGGATGAGAGGCCAAAGCGAAAAAGGGATCCATCTCCTTGTGCAGAACCGTCAAAGAGGAGGTGACTTGACAATAATGAGGACCCAGATGAGTCTCGTCCTCAAAATCATTAAGAAGGGGAGAACTTTCCTACAACCATCCCAAGTACAACACCTATGGCTGCCCCCTCTGCACCAACGTCCTTTGCCCTATGCCAACAAGCTCAAAATCCTTCAAGGCAGAGCAGACAAAGCCAACCAGCACCAGACAACGCAGAGGCACTTCACAAAGGAAAAATGCCCATGGCGTCACAGGCAGAGCCAACCGGGCCACAAAAGACTACAGAAGTGATAGATCTTCTATCTGTCTATGGATCAAACGATTCAGACCTGGCTCTGTCCTCTTCAACATAGTATGCTATGGACATGGCTGCTCCTTCAACCATAGCACAACAAGAAGAAGAGGTGGTCGCTATGAATGTGGTTGATCAGTCACTCTTGCACAATCCAGTTGCCATTCCTCTAGAAGAAGTCATTGTTGCTGCTCCTCCACCACATCCAAAGACCCACAGAGCTAGAGTCCCTGCTCAAGGGACCAAGGTTGTCACTCCTGCAATGAGGCAGCAGGTACCTGTCAAGCCAAACAGAGCGGACACAGAAGACACAACCAACGGGCAAAAATGGAAGCATCCTTCTGGTCATGTCCAAAGGATCAAAGCAAGTATGGATGCCATGTTCACGCCAACACCTATCAACAAACCCATCATGGACAAGGTAGACAACAAGGAGATCTAACAGTTCCTCTACAACCTAAGAGAAGAGACACCGGTCCAGAAGATCAGTCTTCATCCTATGGTTCAAGAGCACATCAGGCAGAGATTCCTCGGCGCTACACTCAACCAATCACTGCAATCCACTTTGCTGATGGAATAAAGCAAGTCATTGACATAAAGAGGCACACTTTCTCACATAATCAAATTGTGTTCTACGAGTACACAGTGGAGAGGAATCTGTTGGAATCAATTGATCCTACTTATTCTAAAAAGTTTTATTAAGCAATCGGGGCTAAGGATGGAATATCTGAAGATGTTGCTGTGCTAAAACGACTAAGTCTRGAAGAAGACCAAAGCCCCTATGGACGACCAGAGCCTCTGGTTGTATTGACCAGAGACTCTGGACTCTAAGTCCTTTAGGACCAGAGCCCCTATGAACGTCCATAGGTGCGATGAACTACACATCTCCATAACTCCTCTGGTTGGTCTATCCT